ATCTATAATGGTGGCCACTTAAATAGTTGAAAAGTAAAAATAGGTATTGTACCTAAATATTTAAATGGTCGCCATTTTGGAAATTGATTGCGATCAAAATTATATTCAGTAACCTCAGCTTTGGGACAGGGCGTTCCGGAACCCGAAATGCCAGGTGATCGTGACCTAATCTCATTGAATTGAAATCACATAACGAGTGTTTAAAAGTTGTGGTTACTGCTACACCAGGCATGTCCTGTATTTTGCCGTACACTGTACATAGGACAGCTTAATGTTAGTTATAACCTCAAAAAAATTATAAACTACACCTTCGAATTCGAAGTGATTATACATAATTTATTTACATTATGAGTGATAGAAATATTGACCAAAGTCTCAGAAAGCCTAGACGCACCAAAGGAACTCCATTCTACAGACAACGACACTATTATTCTTTGGGCTTTCTTGGTTTAAGTGCGATATGTGGATGGCTTTATTTGTAATTTTCTTTTCATTTATTTCAACTGGAGGTGAAATTTTGCTTGTATTTAGTACATTATGTAACAAATTGCACCTCCGGATTTTTAATACACGGCATGATGCCACTACCAAATTCATTGCAGTACCTTCGCAATGTTACTTACCTTATTTATTTTGCGGCAGTGGCTAATGCCAAATTAAGTGTTGGATAAAATGTAGAATCTTTTCAGGTCGTGGAGTGAAGCGAGGAAACTTGGCAAAGATGCGGAGAACGGTAAATTTGATTATCCCGATTCATTAAAAGAGCACATAGCTTCTCATAAAGTCGGCTATGATCCTGCGATGCTACAGGTACTTTTGAAGCTTCAACAGAAAGCTGACGAAAAAGTGACGACTTCTCAGCCGCAGTCTGGTTTCAGTAAATTGTTTAGCCAACCTGATGTGTAACCTGTTATTTTTAGTCTGTTTACTAGGAATTAGGTTATAAATAGAAATTTTGTTGCTCACTAAAAAAAATTTAGTGGTAAAGGATGTTTTCCACAGTCTAAACTGAACGTGAATTCCTTGAGGGAAAAAATCGAGAGGGCAGGAGAAATTTAATGAACCTTTTAATTGAAATCCCCACGTTTATAAACAATGTAAACATAAATAACAAATTTCTAAACTTAACATTAATTTATAATTCAAAGAAATTGATCAACTTAAGACCCTTTATTTCAACTTCACTATAGTTGTGTCAAGCGTCTCATCGCTTGAATCGTCATCTGATTGAGCATTTAAAAGATCTTGTATCAAGTCTATCTCTCCAACAGAATTGATATTACAATCAGCGCCATTACCTTCTCCCGTAACATTCTTAATGGTGACAAACGGAAACCTGCAAAAAAACAATTGAATCATCAATGTATTTTTCGGATACTTTAAGGACATACATTTTTAACATGTCAAAGTTGCCATTGGGACAATCTTCTAATTCGTTACGAGTCTCTACTCCTACAGCAAAATCACAGCAGTTTCTGAAGTGGCACGAATCCAATTTAACGGTGCTGTTATCGTAAATTGTCAAACCGAAACGGGCATTTTCTATCTTCGTATTGGTCACATGTACTTTGGAGAGAAAATTTGCAATGATGGCTCTCTCGAAGCCGACAATATCACAGTCGATTACGTTTAATATTGCACCAGGGGAGACAATAATACCGTCGCACGTATGGGACTTGACGGCATTAACGAATTTACAATTCTTCAAGGTAACCGTGCCTTGCCGAACGAGTAAGCCGCATTGAGCGGCTTGTACTTCTATCGTTAGATTTTCGAAGGTGCAAGTGCCACAGCAGTCCAACATGTTGATTTCCTGCGGCGAGAATACGACCGTGTCGTCTCTCCCGAACAGACCTTTTAACACCCCGCCGTTCTGCAGGGCGTACAATTCTTTAAAGCTATGCCTGCAGTTGCTGAGTAAAATGACATCGTCGGTGGCCCCATCGATTAAGGCTGTGTTTAACGAGGGTTTGTAGCGGACGTTCGTTGCGCCGACGTGGGGCTTGACATGGTTAAGAAACGTGATGTAATCGTCCACTTTGCCCTGGGGTAGTACCACAACGTGAGCCGGCTCGTTACCTTTACGTTTCGGTACCAATCGCTCCCGCCGTTTAAGCAGGGCAAGCCGCAAGAGGGGATTCTCAAGAAACTCCACTTCGTTCCGGATTTGCATCATACGCACGCGATATTTCGCATCGTCTTCCACGCACCGTCGTTTATGTAAATGCCGCGCCTCAGTTATCAAGTTATTTATATGTACAGCGGTATGCTTCGGAATGTTATTAGTGGATATTTCGTAAAACAAACGTAGACGTGATTCCAAATGCTCGCGAACCCAATTTATGGAATCGTCCTCTTCTAAATCCCACGGCATAAAGATGTAAAGATAAAACACTCGTAAACTATCCAGGCAGTCGGCGGTCGAGGAAAGACCTGGCTGGTGAGATGGATCTTGTTTTTTGGTCGGCCATAGTTCGATTAGTGGAACGATAAAATGTCTACCTGACAAATTTGTGTCGCCATCATCTGCAAGAACTTTAACGGTAGCTGCCAGTTTCTCGTAATGGACATCTACCACATGCACAAATACAGTTATCGGGAATTCAATTTTAAGTTGTTCGCATATAAGCCTCGGTATCTTCCAAATGGCATACCATCCAGATACCTGGATAGCCAATTCCGCGTAAATTGACCATTTTTTGTGCACTTGGGAGGAGTGAACAAGTTTATGGTGAGGGTCTGTTAAAATCTCTGTATATTCTTGCAGCCTATGTTCATAGCTCTTATTGAATGTTATCACAGGATTCATTTTTGAAAATAACGTTAAACGTGATGAATAAACTAAGACAACAAATGAAGAAAATCCCAAATGAAAAGACAAGAGCACAAGACAGTTACTTTTTCTAAGAATTTGAATTTTTTTGTTTTGTTTGTGATCAGTGCTACCAACTTTACTAACTTTCAGAGTTTTTGAACATACAGGGTGTCCGACGATATTTATACAATGTGCTCAAAGGGAAATCAGCACTATAGCTATTTTTATTATTATTGCAACTACGAAATTGATTAAATTAGCAAAGACCAAAAACAATTGCACATTAAGTTATTCAAAAACTACTTTTTTAATGTATCGCCATATTTAAAAAAACAAAATTTTGAATTTAAAAAAAACTGTGCATAGGCATTACACACGACAGAAGTAAAACATCCCTAGTTTGAAATGCAAACGAATCTCATATAAATGTAGGTCAATTGATTAAGAACGGTAAACTAATTAGCACGTCAATTGAACCGTCCTCATTTCAGAAAGATTCCCCTCGTGCTCCCACTTCCAACGTGCGGGCGTGAGGAGTGGGGGAATCCGTGCGCTCTACACTCATTCGCGTTTCACTATTGCCGTGACCGTGGCCGTTGGCGCTCGTACTATTCGACTTACCCTACGTTGCCTAAAGAAGTTTCACTTCAAAAATCAGTTTTATTACATGATTGCATAAACTGAATTGGAACATTCGAAACCATTCGCAAATAATCGCATGTACACAGACAGACGGGCGGACAGAAAGTCCATAATCATAAACTCGCTTATTTGCGCTCGTTAATAAATATTAATAATTGTAGCTCGAATTCCGTTATTTTGAAATTTAGTTTAGGCGTTAGAAGTGAGCAATAATTAAATTGAAAAATTTGACTTTTTGGTATAGCAGAACTTTTTTACAACCAAAGTAGACTGTAAGTCTGTCAGTTAGTGAGAGGGCATTTTGGGTCCTTAAGGGCTTCTCTGGAAGGTATACTATCTTTTCCAATCTTCTCTAGAAAATGCTTTTAAAAACGTCTTCTTAAAAATCTTGAACAAAACGGGTTTGGGAATTCTCTTAGAATTTCTCCAGCTTAAAAGGTTTGCACTAGTTCGAAAGCACTGTAAATTTTGGTGGATTTTTTATCGAACTCATCGGAAAATACAATCCCCCTACGATTTGTTCGTTGGAACGTGGATCACTGGCCGTCGGCCGAGCAATTTTATGTTTTTATCTATGCTCGTCGACTGGGAAAATAGGTAAAAGAATATGGAAACTTAAAAAGTAACTTTAAATGAACGGGAGAGAATGCATGGCCATTGAATTGTTCAGTAGAAATTGCTGTTGTGATTTTGGAACTAGTTCAACTATTACAAGAAATTATTTTGGAAAAGTATAGGGATTACAAAAGAGATGGCGCAAATGTACCAATTGCATACACAAAAGACAATTCCAGATACTGGTTCATTGAAGTGCAATTGCTCTACAAATCCTACATGAAATTGCACATTTTCAACTGCCCTTTAAGGAAAATTGAGTCGGACGTGGCTATTAAGTGCATAAATTAAAATGTACTTATGAAGGTGGTTACGGACGTGGCGACATCTCATTGGAACTTGTTCAACTATTAAAAGAAAATAATAAGGAAAAGTATAGGGATTACCAAAGAGATGGCGCAAATGCACCAATTGCATACTCAAAAGACAATTCCAGATACCAGATAAAAAAAATTGTCTCATATCGACCGGGAAAAAACATTTTCTTATAGAATGTGGCCTGTAGAATCCATAATTTCAAACAATTCCAAGATTGGGCTCCTAGTTCAAAAGTTACAGCCTTTTGAATTTTCTTTCGAAATTGGTTTCTAGTCTATAACTTTTGATTGAGAAGTCTAATCGAAAAAGTACGAATTGATTTGGAGTCTACGCCCCAAAATTCCAGATACTGGATCATTAAAGTACAATTGCTCTACAAATCCTACATGAATGATGAAATTGCACATTTTCAACTGCCCTTTAAGGAAAATTGAGTCGGACGTGGCTCTTAAGTGCATAAATTAAAATGTTCTTGTGAAGGTAGTTATGAGTAGAACCTTGTGAATAAACACCATCCTCATTTTCTCATATGTATATGGTATGAACTCAGCTTACGGAAAAATGCGTGTTAATAATAAATGAATGCGACCATTGAGGAAGATATTTTCTACTTCTGTTCTTCTTATTATTTTTATTATTCTATCTCATTTGTTTTGACGTTTGGTTTTGACGTTCCAAATTACAAGTCAAGTGACAGTTCGCAGTAGTAAAGCAAAGTGGTCATTCTACACATTTTTAAAAACAGTAGCCAAAGAAAACTCGGTAAGTAATAAAATGGATTTAAAAGTGCCCCTCAGCAGCAACCGATAAATTTCTTTTTAGATTATGGCGTTAAACGCCTGTACAAGCAATTTGTTGAAAATTACGCAGCAGCCCTTGAAAGCTTTGACAGCCTGTTATCACCCCAATGTAATCGATCATTACGAAAATCCCCGCAATGTTGGCTCATTAGACAAGGGCGACGTTAACGTCGGAACCGGCCTAGTAGGCGCTCCGGCTTGCGGCGACGTCATGAAGTTGCAAATCAAAGTCGACGAAAACGGTAAAATTGTCGACGCCAAGTTTAAAACGTTCGGTTGCGGATCGGCAATCGCGAGTAGCTCGCTGGCGACGGAATGGGTTAAGGGAAAAACAGTGGATCAAGCTTTGAAACTGAAAAATACGGACATCGCCAAAGAGCTCTCTTTGCCGCCCGTCAAGTTGCACTGTTCGATGTTGGCGGAGGATGCGATAAAAGCGGCGCTGTCCGATTATCGTATTAAGCAAAAAAATGGTGAGGCGGCAGATGTGAAGAGCGCTGCTTGATGTGTTTCAGGTTGTGATGTAGATATTGTAGGTATAGTGCATATTATAGAATGTAATTGAAAACCTAAATAAACCTTAGCCCTCATGTTGATCTTTCATTAAAGTCGATTTGTTTAATATCAATTTAAAAGTGATACAAATGTTTAGGGACGAGACTGGAAAAATTTCGACAACTGGAAATGGAAATTTCCATGTCTATGGAAATATTTTTAATTTGAAACTGTATGTTTCCAAGCATTTTGAGACTACCCAAAATATTCAGTTATAGAAAAATTCATGATTTGTTTTGTCTAAGCACAACTGGGATACCCTTAACGTATAGTTATCTGGTGCCTTCCACATCCTGATGTTTGTTTTTCTTATGAAAGTCATTTTTACTTTTTGTGTCATTTGATAGAGCATTTTTTTCTGATTTCAAAAATATAAATATCACTATTTTTTAATATGAAATGGTGCTATTAATTTTGTATATGCTTGTTTTATTCTGGTTTAGAAGTATTAGTTTATGGATGCAATAAGTAATAATCCCGCTCTCCCACCAAATTTTTACTCAAATACGTCGCCCAATCCAAATTCGAAACAACCCCCCTTTTTCGGATTCCAAGTCCTTTTGAAAGCGCGCCATCTTAACCAATACAAATACCGCATTTTCAACACATGCTCGGATATTGGCAAAACGGAGCCTTAACTTTTGATGTCTGTGAGATTGTGGCAACACTGTGACGTTTATCTACTTGAACACCGATTTCTTATGTTAAAGCACTTTATTTCTCGAATATAAGCTCGGTTCTCTTTCACTATGAAGTGGTACACGTATAAAATTTCCTATATCAGCAATTTTGTGAATTTAACAAACAATCTTAAATACCTAAAGCGACCTGTTACATTGGTTGAAATGTTTATTTAAAAAAATTATAATGAGTAGTAAAATGATTAATTATTATTAAAATTATATAAACAGTTACTTTAAAAACATAACTAAATATACTTATATACAATAAAAATATTTTCTAATGATAGCAAATTGACTAGATCGTTTTTCCCTTTGAGTGTTTTTGTCGATTTCTCGAGTGTTGTTCTGTTCGAATGGTGATGCATTTTTTATCTAAAAAAGTTAACAAATCCTGCAAAAAAAAACGTTGCATTTAAGCATTCGTCACTTTGTAGTTACCTGAATGTGAAACTTATACCCGTGCATTTTTAGAGTTTTATACAAAAGCTGTAAATTGAGCGGTTCGTAGAGTAGAATACTTTTCTGAAGATTTGGATCTGACGCCACTAAATTGTGCCATACGATGTGCAGAGGTATCTGACATGACGCTATCCTTTTCGAGTGGGTTTTTTCAAAGATTAGTTCTTCACCTTCTCTGAAAAAAATGAAGAAAATAGACACAAACTTCCACTTCTATATTGAAGAGAAAGAATGAAGACATATGCACTCTTTGTGTTATATTATAGTAGTACTTACCCAAAATCTTCATTTATGCTAAGTTTTTCGGCAATAAGAGCCCTTTTACATGTAACTGTTTTCCTTTTCTTTGTGACATTCTCTGCCAAACCTTCCCTGGCAGTAACTACATCAGTATGGCTAAGTACCGGATGAGTCGAGTTGTAAATGTAGTCTAACAATTTTATACCGTGCTTCCGCTTTAACGGTTTTATACCGAATTTTTCTAGTTCCCTGGTAATTTTTGGCGTATCCATTTCGTTATAATTGACGCCAGGAGTAACATTGGTTGTCTTAATTATCATTTCCGACTTCGGTGTGTTGCATTCGTTTGCAGTTGGCACCGTGTACAAAATGGTATCATTCAACCCATCGTTTTCTTCCAAGGGACCGAGATCCGAATTGCTTTCCGTAAATGATAGAGACCCTTCTAAGACACCGCCCACTCCGTGATTGCACGAATAATTAATTTCGTCGTCACTAATGACAATACTTTCCTCCGACTTAAAAGAATTGGTGAAAACAGGACTGTTCTGGTTCCTGGTGAAGGCAGATAGATTAATTTCATTATCGAAAAGCTCATCGAGGGTATCCCTAGGCCATTGCACACTTCGATTCCTATAAGTCTCGCCCAAATTATGCACGCCGTCCAATAAGTCACTTTCATCCACATTCAAGACATTTTGAAATACATCAGAAATTCCAGTTTGTAACTGACCCTTGTTACTCGTGTTACTTTCACTACTCGACGATTGTGTTAGGTCAAAACAATCTTCCTCTTTGTGTTCAAGTTTACTCTCTGGCGCTTCTTTGCTATTACTGATCATAGAATTTTGTTGAAGGTTTGATTTCCTTGGAGTGAGTAACGATTCTGAGCTTTCTTCCCCATTGGCAGGTGACTTTCGTGCAGGCATGTAATAAAGGTTGTCATCATCAGAATCGAACAGTTCCGGCGAAGTACAAACTTTTTTATTGAAATCTTTAATACAAGTCTCGGTTTTATTAGGCGAATCAGCTAAAGGACGATTAACAGGTGACACAGACCGTCCTGGAATTTTGTGCCAATCTTTCAACAGTGAGCCACATTTAATTCGACTCGGATCCAGATTTAAATGCTCTACGTAAAAATCACAACACAAGAGATCACTCATTTTAAAAAGCGATCGGTCAGGCTTAAAGTACCGTTGTAACATACTGCTGACAAGAGTTACACTTTCATAAAAAGTCTGTACACTCGGCTTATCGCACAATAATAAATCGGAAATCTTAGTGTTAATGATTTCTTCGCGTTCTTCTCGAGTGCGCAACATTAATACAGGCGTTATATACTTCTTTGGCTTGTCCTTCCTTCTCTGTAATACATAAGCAGTGAACATGAAAACGTTAACACAATGCGTACCTCTGAGACAGGTCGCCGATTTCCAACTGAAAGCTTGCTTCCACCCGGTTTAAACGCAAACTGTTCCAAACCCAACATGAATTTGCCGTCGGCACATTGATTTTGCAAAGATCTCGACATCGCAATAGCCATATCCATATGTTCCCGATTCGTGTCAGTTTCAACACAGTTAGTAAACGAGCTAATTCTCGGTTGCCTACGCAAGTGAAGCTTCTTTTTCGTCGACTTCTTCGTTGTAACCGAAGGTTTGGCTTTAGGTTGTATTTTTTTCGGGTTGTTAAAGTGCTTGGGGGTTTTAAAATCTGTCCCCTCATTGCTACTGTTCAAATCCACTTGAATGTTTGTTAAAATGTTTTTATACGGGGAGTCGCTGCTACTATTTAAGTCCTCGTCGCGGGTCACATTTTCGCAATCTTGTTTACTTTTAAAATAATTTGAAATGCTGCAGTTTTCCATTTAAATCCATAAAGTTTTTCCAAATTCTTGTTTATTTACAAAAAAGTGAGGTTAGATCTCATCCACAGTGCTACCAACCTACCATTGCAGCACATACACGATGCGTCATCAATAGACACTATACATACAAACATCTGAGGGAATTTAATTCTTTCATTACTTATGAAACGCGTTTAAAATACAGTAAGACCTTAGAAGTAGGTGAGGCTAACAAAGATTAGAAAGAGCCTTTTCCTATGTTCTTGCGCTTTTCCACGTATAAAGTCTGGTATAATCTCGTAGGAAAGTTCTAAAAAGCGTTCTTCTGTTACTTCTTGCTTGCTGGTTAAGACCTTATAAATGCTTTGAAAACCATTGATGCAACTTTCCGGGGCCTTCTCAAGTATACATGCTAGAGACCTTTCGAGAGACTCCTTATTGTAGCGTATTTGAGTTCAGTTCCTATATGCGCTTGTGTTATCAATTGTATTCACTGTTATAAATTAATCCATTTTTAGACTGTTGCAAAATTATTGTCAATTATGTAATTATAAATAAATAAAGAAACGACGTTACAGTATGAACTTTTTGGAAATGTGGATGTGGAGAAAAATTTTGATCAATTGGAAAGAGAGTGTGAGAAATGTGCAAGCATTTGGACTCTGCTATACTAATGTTCTTAATAATGTAGCAGCAATAATACATAATACAAATTATGAACAAAATTTATTCGAAACATGTAATTACAAAAAGAAAAAACAAAATTATCCAAAATATTAAAAGATACATATTAATATTGAATCTCTTTTTCCAGAGCCACCGTAAGATCAGTTAAGGAACGAAGTTCACCACCTGTTTCCACAGAAACGATACGACCCCTCTTTCTATCGTCCAATTCTTCCGACAGCTGCTTAATTTTTTCTAGCTGTCCTTCGTGCTGTTGCAAAAGACATTTTATTTTCTTATTCAAATTTGCAATGTCCTTAAAAATAAGAATAAAAATTAAATGAAATAATTAAAATTGATCTTACAAATTCATCGGCTGTTTCCCGCATTTTTTGCAATACAGACTCCGATTGTTCCGAATATTTGGTGCTGGAAGCAAATACAATTATTAAAAGTGCATTTGCACGATTGAATTACATTATCTGCGACATTTGCATCTCTATGAACTCCTTTTGTAAGTTTGCAAGTTGGTCGACACGCAAATTATTAATATGGCACAAGCCTTTATTAATCAATATTTGCTCGACAATTTGTGCTTGCAACATTCGCTTACGTTGTTCCTCCAATCGAACACTCTCCCTTATCGTGTAGTACTCTTTCAGTGTTTCTAGGTAGACTGTAATCACCGTATCTTTTGTTTCACATTGTTGATTGTGAAGAACTCCTTTTTCCTTCAACAGTTCCAAAATCTTATCGTAGTCAACAGGTTTATCTTCGGTCATCTTGATTTGAGACCACCTGAAATGGACAATTAACAGTTTTGAAAATGGGTTTACGCTTATAAATAAATTATAAATAAATAATAAAAACTACAGGAAATAGCTCACAATTTTTCAATTCAAACAAACGAATAGAAATTTTAATTCGCAACGTTGCCGGTTCTCTCATTTTAGGCGGTTGTAAAAATGTTTGTCACATCTAGAAAATGCTTTTATTAAAAATCTGTTTTAAGCATCTCAAGAATTTTCCGCTTCCCAATCATTGAAACCAGTATCTGAAGTATCGACGATTGCCCAGCGAACCGAAGACAAGTTCGGCACAATTACCTTCAAAAGAAAACCTTTATTTCGTATAGGAAGTAGGTAAACTTGGAACAATCTGTGCCGATCTCGCCATCGGCTCACTCGGAAATCGTAGGTACAGTAATTTGGGCCTTTAGAGCTTTGTTAATAAAAAAATAGGCAAAGTTGGGCGGGTTTGAACCGATTCCGCACAAACTTGGTTACTTTTCTAAGAAGAAAAAGTGTCTAAACGTAATTTTAAAGTAAGGTGAAATATCTACGATTGCTGAGCGAGCCGAAGGCGAATTCGGCACAATTTTACTTATCTTTGCCTACAAAAGGACATGAGGAAGTAGACATTTTTGGCCAAATCTATGCCGAATTGACTCGCTCGGCAATCGTAGGTACAGTACTTTGGGTTTAAAGAAGCTTTAGCATAAAAAATATGCAAATTTGTACCGATTCACCCCAAATTTGGCTACTTTTTTAAGAAGAGAGAAGGTGCGTCTAAGGTATTTTTAAACGAAGTCTAAGGTATTTTTAAACGAAAGAGTTTGGCACCATTTCGCCTAACTTAAGTAACTTTGCCTTCAAAAGCAAACCTTGATCATTTCATATATAAGAAGTAGGCAAACTTGTCCGAATCTGTAGATACAGTACTTTGGGTTTAAAGGAGCCTTCATTGTTGGAAATGTTAGTTACAAACAGAACGTAAATGCATTTTCTTAAGGACTTTTTACTAGACTTCTCATAAATCTGTTTCGTAACTTCCGCAGTAGGTCACCGACCTCGACCATGCAATCCGTGGCAACGAGGTTTCCGACAATGGTTGTCGTGGATCTTAAGTTCGCTTCTTTTTAAGAAACGTGACAACGCTGTTTAGTGTTTCATTTCTACTTCACGCGTGTTGCTTGTATTCAGTACATAACCTCAATTTAGTATATTGAAAACTTAGAAAATTCCGAGGAAAACTAAAGTCTAAGACTCAAAAGAAGTTGACTGATTTCCAAGGTGTAGGTCTCTCTTAAATATTGCATAAACATACAAGAATTTACGACTGAAATCATGGAGGCAGTTAATGTGGAGTGCGAGAACGCCCAAGAGGAGAAGAACGTAATGCCCACCGAGATCCCCATGGAGGTATCAGAATTACCCAACGATGACATTAGAAAATTTCACGTTCTCGATGAAATTGAAAATAACAGCGAGTCACAAACGTCAGATAGTGACTCAGATTTACCTGATGATGAAGTAAACAAAATGCTCGATGAGGCGTTCAATGAAAGTAAAAAACGAAAGATTACAGAGGAAAAAGGTAAAAAAGTGGTCACTATTTCCGTTAATGATCTTGTTTGTTTAGAGGGTAATGGGGATAAACCGTTTGAAGAAAAAGATAAAGTTGTGCTTATTCAAAAGGGTCAGAATCACTTTGACATTTTACCTGAAGGATGGATCCAGTTGAGCCATAACAGTGGAATGCCTTTGTATCTTCATAAGGCTAGCCGAGTCTGTACCCTATCAAAGCCGTACTTTCTAGGGTCTGGGAGTGCTAGAGTTCGTGTTAAGCTGACTTTTAGTGGACGTGTTGTAGAGTGTGTTTGTTTTGTAGAAGCATCAGGTACCGTTAAGCGCTGTGCCTTGTCTGAGTTACCGTCGAGCTCTGGAGACCGAATTGGAACAAAGCAAATCTGCAACGGGTGGTATGATGAATGCGAGAATTGAAACGGCTCAAGAGAACATAGAATCACATAATTTATCGCCGGTCCAACTGCAAAAATACTGTGAGAAACTGTTTCACTTTCGAAGCATTAAAGTTATGAGGTTTAAGTCGTGGTCCCATCGACGTCAGTTTACAAAGAAGGCTAAACAAGAAAAACAACTTCAGCGGCCAACTCTGCCAGATGGTATTTTGTTTATAACAGTCCGTGTTAGCTTAACCAGTCGTTTATAGGGACAAAATTGATTACATTCCCCATTCAAAGCGCAGACGGCGATTCCTCACAAACCTCCAAAAGAGAATGGATTATGAATCCGAACGGCAAATCGTACGTTTGCATTTTACACGAGTACGTCCAGCACGCTCTAAAAAAACAACCCGCGTATAAATTTATCGAGCTAGGTTTGACGATCGCGAGGAAGTAATTTTTTGTTCTTTACTCGAACTTACAGAGAATGCGGCAACACCGTACGCCGCCACAATTTCGATTAACGACATGCAGTACGGCATCGGTTATGGAACGAGTAAAAAGCAGGCGAAAACTGAGGCCGCTCAATCCGCTTTGGAAATACTAATACCCGAAATGCGAACAAAGATCCATACCGATTCGAAATCGTCTGCGAATACGAGCAAAGCGCAGAATCAGGATTTATCGGTTGGTAAATTGTTGATAATTGAGTAAGCGTTTAAAGGTAAAAAGAGTTACATTGTACATGTGTCCCATTTTTGACATCTTTTATTGGCGAATCAGATTTAACAGTGAGACCTCTGGTGGCAGCACATTGTAATTACTATTGGTGGGATAAGACCACCAATTTGTTTATTTACAATGGTCAAAAGTAATCCATATTTTAGTTTTTACAAGTGAAAAAAACCCAAAAAGAATTTTTTTGAACATACTTTTTACCTTTAAATGCTCGATCACTTTTCCCGCACGCGAGTAACTTTATTATCTTTAACTTTCTTGTAGCTTTTTGACGAAATTAAGATAGAAGATCCACGTGTGACGGAGTTCTGCACGAAAACCACCGAACCTCTTCCGCACGACATCCTCCTCACCTGCCTACAGCGTAACTTCGGCCACGGCGACATTCAAGTGAGCTACGAGGGAAACACGTTAAAAAACCAAATGAACGAATACAAAATGACAGTCGGCAAACACTCGGCGACCGTTATATGCAAAAATAAAAAAGACGGTAAGCAGCGCGCTTCCCAGGCGATTCTGCAGGCGTTGCATCCGTACATAACGTCGTGGGGATCGTTACTGCGTTTGTACGGCAATTGCTCCGTGAAAAGTTTCAAGGAGAAGAAATTGGAGGAACAAGAGATCACGTTATTGCAAAGCAAGGCGGCCGTTAATTCGCCTAATTTCGCCATTTTGAATAAGCTGAAACACGAGTTGCGTAAGTTGAAGGAGTCTAGGAATGCGAATCAACCGATCGGCGTATTCATACCGCCTAATTGCGACATACTACCCACGTTTTCTTCGTCGAATTTAAAAAATGTTGATCTCTAGTAATTATTTCACTCATTTTAGACTTCGAGTTTAATGTTTGAATTTAAGTGACCAATGTTGCAAAGACTGGATGTATGCATATGTTTTATACAGGGCATTTCAAAATCATTGCATAATAACACGAAGCACTTTTTAAAATCATTTTGAAACACCTTGTAAAATATTATTTGATGTTGGTGTAATGCATACAATGATAATAATAATAATGACTAAGTATTTAAACATTATCCCACATAGATTAATTGAATGGAAATCAAATAAACAAATAATTAATTAATTTTTGGAAAAGTTCGTTTAAAAAGTGAAAGACTTGAAGTTTAAAAGCAATACCGGAATTTTTTTCTAAATGCGCCATTTTATTCTGAATTTAACGCATTTAAGATTTGCGTATCTGTCAATTTTTCTTTTTAGAATTTGGAGATGCAATGGCCCATTAATAAATTCATATCTTCAACCGTTCATGTGAGTGGTCTTCTTTATAATTGAATCTTTAAAGTCTGAGGAATTTTTTGAGTGACCGCCGAAAGTCATGAATAAATTTTTAGGACTGTTGCAAAAATTCCAAAGGTGACTCAACAGCAACTCATTTTTGATCGCATTGTATCAGAAATTAGAAAAACTGATATTTTTTTATTTGCTAATTTTTTAAAATCGCAGTAGCCATGAGAACTTATTCATGACTTTCACCGGTCACTCAAAAAACTCCTTAGACTTTAAAGGTTCGATTACAAACTATAGCGCTCACTTATCTTGAACGGTTTTAGCGATCTGAATTTTTGAATGGATCTGACAGACAGATACGCAATTCTTTAATGTGTTGAATTCAGAGGCGGATTAAAAAAAGTAGAAAATGGAATGTTTCTATTTAAAAAAACGAAAATGGCGCCAATTAATGCACCAAAAAGTGTCTAAAGTATAGAATTTGCTTTCCAGAGCATTTTGTCTCCCAAGCCCATTCTAGTGATGTTTAGTTAAAGCAAAGAAAAGTAACTAAGAAAGCGTTTCTGAGTACTTCGCAGAACATTCGCGCGGCCCCCCAAAGCCTTTTTCACTTTACAGAGCGTTTAAGGGTCTCCAGAGCTATATTTTTTGTCCCTATCTGATTCTGTAAAAATCCAATATGGTGTCCATAAGATATAAGAAAGTACTACGTCCACCAAACCAAAAAAATACTTTAAACCAAAGAGCCTCGATAACGTCTTCCTCTCCTATTTAAAACCTTCCCTTCTATACCTTTTGCCTCCACTTCCTTAGCAAATTAATGCGTCGTTGTACGCTATGCTACTGTATTTTCTTATCTTGAAACTAATTATTTAGCTTACGCCGCGATAACAAAATTTCTTATCTAAGATCGGAGATAAACTTTTACAAAACACCGCAAATATTTCCAAATATTGCGGCTAGTCTTTTAACACCTAATAAAATTGAACAAATAAATAAAATACAAGGTGATTATAAATAAAGCTGCAACTCATCATGAGATAAATGCGTATCCACTGTGGAATTTGCTGAACGTGCAGGTTTTGAATTAAGTGGAATCTTTAACAGCATTTTAGGATTGGTAGTAAGAAAGACATTAACCAATGAAAAATGTAGGCATCCCCCAATAAATTGCATAGGGGAATCACGGCATCTTTCTACAATAATTGTTGCAATAAGCGCAGAAATAGCTGCTGCAGAAGTTGCAATAAAAATTGCATCGTCTAATATGGTCTTAAACCAGAAAATTGCAGAATGTCTTACAGCAAGAACTTGCACGTGCAATTTTGACAAAACACAGAGCAATTTAATTCGAGCAATGTCTTGCGGTAATAAATTGCATCGTCTAATACGGTCTTTAGTGTAGAGTTGCAAATCTAAATTTAAAAAAAGAATACGAAAGTAAATGTGCTAACCGAACGAGTCATTACGCGCTAAAGAAAAACTGCAGTGAGTCAGTAGTAGCACAGATCTACACATACACAGATTGCTAACCTTATGCATTTTTTGGGAAACAAATTTAGGTAAACTTAAAAGCGCCCTCTATTGCGGAGCAGTATAAACATACCGTACCGTTAGATGTCGCTGAAACAAAATTAAAGCGCTAAAGTAAAGTCACTAGATATAGAAAGTACCGCAATCATCCGCCATTTTTGGGCAAATTTGCTGCCAACTTAAAAAAATTGACAAATAAAATCTGAATAGCTGTAATTTTTTATAACCTAACTTCATAGTACTGTCATGTTTTATAAAAATATATACAGATATCTCTAAACAGGTGGAACAATCCCTAACATTAAAGTTACTAGAATCTGGTAACTTCCGCCATTTTTGGTCAAAAATCATGCGTTCTCTCTCTAACACACGAGCCCAATGGATTGCGGTACTTTCTATATTTAGTGACTTTACGCTAAAGTTTGCTACGGTGACTTTATAGAGACAGTGGCGACAATAGGAGTTCGGCCGCCATTTTGCGTCAAAAAGTTGGCAACACACAATACACGTAGGCATGTGTGGCGTACGCCGCAACATCATATTAGGGAGCAGTCAAAATACCACATATTGCGAACGACTATTTCCTAAACGTTTACAACTTACTCAATGGTAGGGAAAATCATAATTATACGTCTTTTGCTTAGACCAATAATTTTGTAATAAATTGATTGGAGAGGAATTTTGTGTTTTATGTATTTAATAAGTGTAATAATCCGTTCTTATTGATATTACTGCCTTTTCATTTCCTTCACCTGCAAAGATATTCAGAATTTTACATTGAATAACTGTTCTTAATTCTGATATTCAATCCAATTGTTATAAATTTTCATCTAAAAAGGAAAGATGTTCTCATAATACTTGTAGGGATTTGTTTCTTACTAGAAACAACCAAATTCATATTTACAGTTTTTATATCGCTAATTGTACTAATAAAACGTTTAGAAAATAGTCGTTCGCAATATGTATGTGGTATTTTGACTGCTCCCTAATATGATGTTGCGGCGTACGCCACACATGCCTACGTGTATTGTGTGTTGCCAACTTTTTGACTCAAAATGGCGGCCGAACTCCTATTGTCGCCACTGTCTATAAAGTCACTGTATACCTAAATTTGTTTCCCAAAAAATGTATAAGGTTAGCACTCTGTGTATGTGTAGATCTGTGGTTAGCGTTGTAGATAAATCCTGAAAAATTTATAACAGGCGATCAAATTTGAAAAATGAGTGGCGGTCGAGTCGCCTTTGGAACTTAGGCAACTCATTTTTAATCGCGTACAATATAATAGTGCTGAAATTATAACTAATAAAACTGTTGGTATTTTCAACAACAAATTCTGTTCAATCGGCCCCACTGTTGAAAGCGTCATTATAATCGTATTTTTTGTGCAACTGCTTACTGAGGCTTTTCTTCAATTGTACTAAAACAGTAATCTGTTCTAGAATTTATTTCATCATGCTCAGGATGCACAAGATTTTGTCGTGATCTGATGTTTTTTAAGTGGACCTTCAAAAATACTCTGCAATATGTGGTGCCTTGGCTCCACTAACTGTAAGGTATCCCAGTCCCTGCACCTTGTGGAACCTGCATTTTCTGGATGTTGGACAGATACTTGTAGATTGCTATCCACAGTGTATAGGTACCTTTTCTACAGTCTTTGCATGCAAAGAGACTTCTCGTAATTTGTTCAAGAGAACTACTGGGTGACATGCTTTGTTTTTGGTGCTGAATGGGCGAAAACATAATTTTTTGAATTTTTGGAAACAATTGCTAAAGTTTGTAGGGCTGTTTGTCAGTAACTATTAGACCTACAAAATTGGAGTTAATGATTCTTGTGCTAAAAGAGATCCCCGAGGTAAAGCTCACGTTTTTCAAAGTTGCAAAATTAGGTTCACACTATTGGTTGATAGCACATAAAAAAATAAAATCTTGTGTGCTTTTTGCCTTTTCCTGTGTCTACTAGAGTTAACACTCGGATTTTGCACTTTTATAGATATAGAAAGTTGGCAGGGTGGGGGACAGTAAAGTTAACATGGCAGTACATTGAAAGTACTAGACGGTCATCAAATGTAAAGTAAATGTCAAAGTGGTGCATTGGGGGTACAGCATTCATTGCTGGGGCTCGTGTCGAGACAATACAGAGATACTTGAAAGACAAAATGAGAAATATAATTTATTAAACAAAAATTAAATTATTTATATAAATTTACAAAATAAAATTTCATATTCTAAAAAAGTGTTTATGTACAATCTAGTAGGTGTGCCTAAATTTAACTTAACAGCAAACACGCTCGAGTAATATTCTCAGTCTCGTCACCTTTACATATGTACAACAAATAAGTAGTAAAAATTTAACCTAAAGCCGATTACCGATTAACATTTTGATTAATTTCGAAAATAGTATCATCATCATCATCATCTAACTCTAAACGCCGCATTTCTAAATCACTTCTTCTCGCCGTTACTCCGTATTTTCTTACGGTGGAGGGTGCTTGAGCACCGTTCCTTAATCTAAAACGAAACTGTGAGCACATGAGGTAAAAGTGTCAAAATGCGTACCTGTACGATCGATAAACAAAATAAAAAACGACTACTGCACTTAATCCTATAAATACGTAAAATCCTCTCAGCAATGCGCCGGACTGAAGTAAATCTTTAGAATACTTTTTAACATTAGTCGTTACGGTAGATGATTCCTCATTTTTGTGATCTACAACATCCTTTGTCTTGCTGTTCTTCGTATCCTCCACATTTTTTGCTATCTCGTTCGAGTTTGCGTTAGGGACTTTCTCGTTGACTTTAACGGACGGTTTTGCCACTTGCTCGTCAAGGTTCACTGATATTTCTTGTACGGGCGCGGCATTACTATTTCCCGGTCCCTGTTCATGTCCCATAGATTGATACTTGATAGCGTAGACAGAAGTGTTAAAGGTTAGGTCTAGACAAATTGTTAAAATAATCCACACTAACATTTTTGTGAGTATAAAGGAAGGTTTTATAAATGAACATTTAAGTGGGTTGAGAATATTTAAAAATTATAATCAAATGTTGCAAAACAAGAAACTGCAAGTGGTGAAACTTTTTTAGGTTATGTTTTTGTGGACACGTCAAATTTATATTTCGCGGGAAGTTTGAATGGAATTCACTTTATAGAGATTTTTGATTTCAATTCCAGGATTGGAATCTTCACCGACTGTGATTTTTAGGTGTCCGTGTCCATAGCTGAGTATTCCTTTTGGATCATGCTGTATGTAAGTAATCTACGCATATAAATATTCTCAAATCTGGAAGATCTCTATGGGTGTGGTGTGGTAGGTTTAGCAAAGCGTCAAGTGCAGTTGCTGACATGCCTCTTTGGATTCCTGTGGTACTGGACTGATGACTGCGCTTGATTGCTGAGCAAACGACGATGCCGTTCGTTTGTTGATCTGGAGTGAACCCTTCTTTGGCAGCTCTAGCCATGGGCTTCTAAACCATATAAAGCCAAAATGTATATCATACTACACAAAAATATAGCAAAAAAAAGGTGGGAGGATGAAAAGATTTTTAATTTCATATCTGGTATACGGGTGATAGTTGGAAGTACCATAAAAGTTTAAATAAGAGCCAACAGCACCTGTACTTAGCCAAAAATTGAACCAACATTGGTGCTCATGACGAGGCCCCAAAAATGATCACCCTGTATATCAAAATATAAAATACCCCTTAAAGTACTTTTGAAAGCTTATTTAATCTACAACCAACTCAATTTCGGCATTGGGGCACAGCACCCCCCCTTAACTACGCCCCTGACGGAGTCGTAGAACTATTGAACGGTCAAAATCAAGCGACATACGACGAATTCAACTAGTACGCAACGTGAGCGAGTGAGATGCGACGATTTGATCTTGAGGACTTTGTGTTGTAAAAACTATGTTTATCTCTGTTGTTGACTTACAAAACAAATGACTTCTTTTCGTTTTCTTTAACCAAGTCGTCGTAGCCACTGGGCACGTAAATGGCCTATGAGAAGTTGTGGTGTGTTTTTAATGGAAACGTTTGTTAAAGTTAATATATTTATCATTCACAAGATTGATCTTTTGTTGTGCTGTTAAACGAAAATTGGCGCTCGCAAGGGAAAAAAATGGCATCAGAAGAGGACGTTTTCGTAGAGCCAGAAATAAACGAGGGTAGAAATTTAAGGCACAGAAAATTTGTGGAACGTGCACAAGAAACAATTGAACAAGGTGGTTAATGAACAAATGAGGGGGTAATGTATTGATTCTGTGCTTTTTTTAGCCTCGGAGTTACTCAAAAGAAAAATTCCTTGTGCCGGTTACTTTTTGTCTCCAAAAAGGCTGTGGTTAAAACGAGTATCAACACCAAATTGTGATGTGGTTGTAGTTTTTCCTACAGGAACTCAGGATTCTATTTTATTATGGTTGTTATCGCGTTTACGGCAGTCATCGGGCCTTACTGTTCATGTTCGACACCATGCGTCTACACAGAGTAGCGCCTTTTACTTAACTGCGCCATTTACATTGTAAGTAGTAGAAATATTGAGTTGGTGTTATCATTTTTGTGCAATATTGATTTGGTACGAAAATTACCGGATTTGCTCCCCTTGAGTGGTGTTTAAACGACTTTAGTTTACTCTGAGATTCACATACCCATGACTACAGTGCCCTCTATCCATGACCACCCATTTTGTATTGAAAGCATAGGGCTAATAGCAGTCCATGTACTATATGGTCTAAGAGTGGAGCCCCGAGAGGGATTTTTATAAAGTCACTAGATATAGAAAGTACCGCAATCATCCGCCATTTTTGGGCAAATTTGCTGCAAACTTAAAAAAATTGACAAATAAAATCTGACTAGCTGTCATTTTTTATAACCTAACTTCATAGTACTGTCATGTTTTATAAAAATATATACAGATATTTCCAAACAGGTGGAACAATCTCTAACATTAAAGTTACTAGAATCTGGGAACTTCCGCCATTTTTGGGCAAAAATCATGCGTTCTCTCTCTAACACACGAGCCCAATGGATTGCGGTAATTTCTATATTTAGTGACTTTAGATTTTTAGATTATTGCGGTGATTTTACTTGGTATCATGTGAAGCGTAAGATTTTAATATCATGCAAGTAAACACTTGTGGGAGAATTTTACAAAATGTGGGGGCTGAGATTTCGGCAGTGGAAACTTGCAGGTAGGTATCCCAGCTGCAGTAGAGAACAAGCTTTGCAGTCTACTGTGGGATGATCAAATTTGTCCCGTGATTTGGCGTCCCCATTTTCAAATTTTGTTAATTCTAAAACCAAATGGTGCATTTAGAGTTTTGGAATAATCCCGGACTACAGGCTCTTCCTTTCTGAGATATATTTTAATGTATTGTTGTGAAAAATTCCGTCATGCGGACATTTTATTTGCTTTCAGGACCTACAGTAGTGTTGGGTCACCCTGTATGTGTTTAATTTAATTTATTTTTAAATATAAATGTGCTCGCTAATTGAGATTGAACACAATTTCGATCATGGCAATGTGATTTTGTTTAAATAATCATGTAGTAATTTATTTTATTGTTCATTTAGAAAGATTAGGGACTTTTCGAAATAATGTTTTGTTAAAGTTATCTCATTTAAATCCGGTCGTTGCGATAAGAAATTTGTTATCGCTGCGTAAGCGAATTAGTTTAATAATTTAATTTCGAAGACGGTTTCACGTAGAGGAAAGGCGGACACAGAGCGGGTAGAATGTTTAAAATAGTACAGGAAGACGTGAATCGTGGCTTTTTTTGTGGTGGATGTTAATCGTTGTGTTTGTTTTTGATGGAAGTTGAAACGTTGCCGCTTATTGTCTTGATGACTGACACTAGCACTGGAAAAATTATAATCATTTCGTATAAAAGACCTTGTTAGTACTCCCATTTTTTTTTAGATATTTGTGTTGATTTCAGGCTTCTAAAAGCGGCAGAAGATTTTCACCTACCAAAACAAGTGCTCTCAATTAGAGGTGGAGGTTTGAAAGAGTTTACTGTACGCGATTTGCATTCATTCGTCAATGCTGATAACGAAGAGACATTCTTTACCAGTCAGGAGAGGCAGTGGCTGGTTTTGAGGTTGTTGGAGAGTATCCGAGCGAACATATCCGATTTGAATGTTGTTCCGGACGTAACATTGCTAGAGGGCCAACCTATCAGTAAGATTCAGTTAGTAATTAATGAGCTCAGTAGTGACTCCCAAATTTACAATTTGTTTTTCCATAATGGCCGTTTGCACCAACAAATTTAAGCGCTAGCTTAGCTTAAGCATAGCCATGGGAATGATTATTGAGACAATGGTTGTCATGGATTTTAAGCTAAGCTAGCGCTTAAATTTGTCGGTGCAAACGGCCATAAGAAATACAAAGTTTGTTCGGTCTGTCACTGTCTGATTCAGGTAGTAAAATTTGTTTCAAAATTTCCACCGTAAGATGGCGCTTTCTTAAATAGATGTGCGCACAAGGTTCTGATCTCAAATTTGGGGTCTGGGTGTTTTTGAATATGTAAATAACAGATCCAAATTTTGTTTTTGAAAATTCCCGAATATTCTCGAAATTTTCCGAATATTCGCAACAACAAAAATGGCGGCCTTTAATTACAAATCATTTCTAAGTGTCATAGAGTCAAAGACCAGTTTCTTGAGAGAATTTACTTCTAGTACCGAGATGCTTGCTCGCCGGCGTTATATCCCAAGTGTTTCCGTTACACGACCCGCAAACCTTGGAACGTCTGCAGAACATTTGGGTCAGGGACATACGATCGCAGCAACCGTTAGGTAAAATTCCATTTCAATTTCCACCGCTAACCTCTGGCCTTTAGATGAGATATGTGAATATTTCGGCGTGAAGATCGGAATGTACTTCGCTTGGTTGGGGCACTATACTATGGTGTTAAGTGTACCGGCCGTTGTCGGATTCCTCTTCTGGGTTAGTTTTTTTTCGTTAATTCCCTGTTAATTAATGAGACTTGTTTTAGCTCTGCTGTAATGGGAAACATCAGCACCTGCAAGATGTCGGATACGTTTTGTTTTCGATATTCAACGTTGTGTGGGCGACCGTGTATCTACAAGCTTGGAAACGTTACTCCGCCGAGCTTGCTTTTCGGTGGGGAACTCTAGACGAGAGGGCGGATTTGCTAGCGAATCCTAGGCCATTGTATAGGGTACGTCTACTTTGTGTAGCAGAAATGATGGTAATGGTGGCTAACTGTAGGGAATTTTACAACCTAGTCCTGTTACCGGTCGTCTAGAGCCATCGCAGCCAGCGTGGCGTCGACATGTTTATAGATACTTTGTTTCAGTGCCTATAATTGCTATATGTCTTTGCGCAGTCTTTATTGTGATGATAGTTTCTTTACAAATACAGGTGACTATGACTTGGGGAAGGGGGAAGATGTAGCTTCCTGTTTCAGGATTGGTGGGACGGACAGTTGTACGCCAGAGGTTTACCGTTGTGGTTAGGTTATGTGCCAAAAGTGATGTTGGCGGTCGTGATCTCCGTAATGGACGAGGCCTACTTTAAAATTGCAATATGGCTTAACGACAAGGGTACGTATTATGATATTGAGAGCGCAATAGTGACAATCATAACATTCTACGCATGTCTATGTGCCCTTCTCGTTCAACTTATTCTGTTATAGAATATTCATAATTAGAACGAAATTAAAACTTTAGCGAACATAGTGTGCGTACGTGTGTAGTCTAATAGTTTGGTTAGTTGTTGTTTTAACAATGTTTTTATCACGCTGCTAGAGAACTATCGACTTGAGACGAAGTATGAAAATCATCTCATCGGCAAAGTGGCCTTGGTGTGTATTTTACTAACTTTTACTTGTACACTCAATTATAGGCAAATAGTGCAATTCTAAATTACACTCGCACTGCTTTTAACAACAACTTGTCGCATTTTATTAACGTGCAAATTGCTACCAAATATAGCATCATCATATGCATGAGTTGTTTGTACGATTCCTGTTGGAAGGAACGAAACGTGAAGGTAGGTATTATTTTCTTACGTCGAAAAATGTAAGAAGAGAGTATCGTTTTTTTTACTAGTTCATCATTTTTCTTGCATGAAGTTAGTACTTTAAAGTTTTTTTTGTTGCAGTTTGTTACATACTTTTTATCCTTTGATATTTTCAAAATAAACTTTGTCAAATTGACTATAGCCGCTTTGATGATGATCTTTCCCAGCTAACAATTTAGGTGTCGGCAACCTGAGGCAAAAGAAATTCGACCAAAGTAGGTGGAAATTATGTAATGTTTATGTTGAATAGGTAATAATAAATATGTTACCTATTAGGCACTGGTGACATATTGGTGAAATAAACACTTATTAGGATGCATCAAACTATGGTAGTGGTAAATGGTCATCTAATAGGTGAGGTAGTTAAAAATACCAATTAAGGAGTGGCATATACCTAACTTTGTATCACCTAATAGGAGCAGTAGGTAGAAGGACCTTATTTGTGCCAATTTGTAACCCAACTAAAGGGACGATTGTTACCTAATTAGTAATATATTCGTTCCATGACTTATTAGGTAACTTTGTTCACGTCATAAATATAACCTAATAGGAGATATAGGCCAAAGTCGACAAAATGACTAAATAGGAATACAAGAAAATTTCATAGACACCTAATAAGAGAATACAGTTACTTACATTTCGACCAATAGGTTGAAATGACTTGAATATTTCACCATTAAGTTTTTTCGACTTATTGGTCGAAACGACAAATCACCTATTTAGTAGCATTTCACCAAAATAAATATATTTCACTCGAGTAAAATAATGGCGCGAAAGTGCCGGTCTGTTTCAACTATAATCTGTTCACCCAACAGATGCAGTTAAGCCACTCCCAATAAATTTGGGCCAATGTAATAACAGACCCGTTTCACAGTCACAAAATTATAAAAACCGGGAAATTTAAAATCGCATGTCACATTGTACGACGAAGTTATAAAGTGTTATGTTTTGAATATTGATCTTTGAACACACAGCAGTACATAGTTTCAAATTGTTTATTAAGTTCAGAAAGATTATTTTGTTCGTATAAATGAAATTAACGGCAAATTGAGGCAAGACAAATACAAAACGCAGTGACAGGTTTGAGGTTAAGGATGTCAATTCAGATATGGCAATTATAATTATTGGAAGCAAATAGTTGCGTGTGTTACAAGTTTTGAAAATTCGGCCAATTAAAAATGTTCATTTAAATTTGGCGGGATTTTTTTGGGAGGAGCTTTACTGCATCTGTTGGGTGAAGAGATAATAGTAGGTATCAATGTCGACCTAAACAATAGGTAATAGGTTGTGAATCCCTGGTAGCAGGTTACAATCATAAGTTGTGTTGCTAACAGGTGTATTAATCTACCAAAAGAAGTTACATGCGCTCCTAATAGGTGTCGATTTAGTGAACGTAGGTGGAGTTTGGTGTTGGACTTACACTTAATAGGTTGGTTTAGTTAGTTAGGTCGAATTCCCAACATACTTAGTTGCGATTACACGTATTAGGTATACTTAAACAGACCACCAATAAGTATATAATACGGTATTTACATGAATTTGTTACAATTAGGTGTATAAAAATTGGTAATATTGTACACCAATTAGGTAATAGTTATCAAAAGTAGATTGTTCTTCACCAATTTGAAACATGAGGTCGAAAATATAGGTGCAAATTAGGGTATTCTACTTATTAGATTAATATAACGAGAAGGCAGACATATTTATTGGCTAGCGTAGACGGCCGAAATATCATCATACATGTTTTTTAGCAGTAATGAATAAATATGTATTATACAATTAAAATCTAATTATATTTAGGTATTATTAATGATTGTATGTTTGCATAAAATACTGAAACTGTCAAAAATGTACAACTATAAAAATGAAAAACGAATAATTATTTTTTTATTATTTTTATAATAGTTATTTCAGAGGGGCTTTGTGTTTTTTGAAGGCAGAAGATATATGTTTGTCATAGAAAATGCATTCGCACGAAATATTTCTACATAGCAATCATGAAATTAAACATATTCAATATTTTACATATAATAGGTAATTTGCCTGATATGACGCCAGCCATAAAGTTCATAACAGTATTCTTATTAACTGTAGGTACTATTCTTTAAAAAGAGAGGATAATAATGAAGTATGGTTATAAGTTCAAAACGACATGTAGAAAATAAGTAATCCGCCACGTCGCCGACGTAGAAAATTACCTAATAAGGTGTCTAGACACCTAACACCTATTAGTTAAATCACACCTATTTAACTTATTTCTCACATCGAATCGACGTGTCAAAAAACACCACTTAAGTCGATTCGACGTCGAATTTATGTTATACTGCACTTATTGAAATTGGTGTCGTTACTTATTTGAAGTCGAATCGACGTCGAATGACACCTCAATTGCTAGCTGGGTTGGTCTCAGGTCCCACCTCAGCAGATGCGAGGCCAGGTTGTGTAGAGCCCCCTGGATTCTGCTTCATCTTGTTTAGCTTATAGACGGACAGCTGGCTACGGAAAAAAGTGACTTATCGCTACATTGCTGATTTTTTGTGTAAAGTATCCTCATACATAGTGAAATAAAAAAAGTCATGTTTGCCAGCGAGATCCCTTGGCTTAAGGTTGGGAGGGGTGTACAAATATGTCAAATTTTAATAAAACTACCTATCTTCCGACTATATTTACCTCTGGTGCTTTTATTTTGAATCTTTCGCAAAAAATGGATAAGACTTTTTAGTACAGTTCATTAAGACACATCTTTTTTGTATTTAACATTTTCCGCTATGGTGTTTTCATTTTGAGAAAAGTGCAAATTTAAAAAAATTATATAATAAATAATTTAACTTTTCGCTTTAGAATTTATGAAAAACTAAAGAAATTCACAAAAAACCTGTAATGGACTTTTTTGTAGAGTTTTGTATGCCACATTTGTCAGTGTGTGAAAAAATGATTACAAAAATTTTTTTCTTATGGCCCTTTTAAACTGTGTGTATGTGGTTCGTTTCTTGTGAACACGATAACTCAAAAACGCCTGAACCGATTTTTATGAAGTTTGGAATGTTTATAGGATTGCATAGGGAATCGCCTATTTTGGTTTCGGTCCGTTACCATCTTCAGGGTTTTTGAGGGTGTTAAAAGTTTAAATGGGTCATAACGGCTTAAAAAATGTTTGTAATTTTTTCGCATACAATGGCTAATGTGGCACAAAAAAGTCCATAACAATTTCTTTATGAGTTCTTTAGTTTTTGAGAAATTTTAAATTGAACAGTTAAACCTATTCATTTTATAATTTTTCTAAATTTGCACTTTTCTCAGAAAGTAAGCCACATAGCGAAAAACGTTAAATGTAAAAAAGATGTGCCTATTCTGGATTACGATAGGAGGGTGAACAGTGTCCACGCGTACTTAGGCCTCAAATTCAGGCCCTTTGTACTACTTGCCTGACTAGGGTCGCCCGACCCCTCAACATCACTCACGCCATCCCACACGTGAGATGAACCTTAGGACGCTGGAAGGGGAGGCGGCTCTAATCGTAGCCATGTCCGGCCAGGATTCCCCCAACATGGATCGTCTCAGTTGGACTAGAGCGGGACATTCACAGAGTATGTGGTGATTCCACCAAACCCATGCAGTGCATGTGCTTGTTTAGTTTACAGTGCCCAGAAAGTATGCCCATGAGTAACCTCAGGTTCTTCCTTGATAGCCCTGTACAAAAACGCGCCAAGCTACGAGATGGTTCTCTGAAGGCTTCTCTGGCATGGCGACAATCTAACATCAAGTTCCACCTAGCTCTGTGCTGGGTTTGGGTGTCTTGAGTTATTAGGTTGTTTACAGTTTTAACTGTAAGTGGAAGAGCCGGCTCTGGACCATAAAACGCCTGTTTTGAGGCCAGTCGGGCTAATTTATCGGCTTTCTCATTACCTTCCGTTCCAGCATGCCCTTTGACCCCTACGAGCTCAAGGGTGTTGCTGCTTGCTACTTGCTCTAGTACGTGGTGACATTCGGAAACCATCCTAGAGGTAATTTTACAGTGACCAAGTGACTGCAAGGCAGCCCTGCTGTCACTTGAGATTCTGATAGTTTTGTTCTTTATGTTATGCATAAGAACTGTTCTTGCACTAAGCGTTAATCCTACCAACTCTGACTGGAATACAGTAGGAAGTTTACCTAGTGGTTGGGTGATATGGAAGTTCAGTTCTTTGGAGTAAATACCAGTGCCTGTACCTTCCATTGTCTTAGATCCATCCGTGAAGATGAATATATCTGGTTGGGATGCCATATTCTCATCAAAGAAGATGTGATAGTTTTTCCCTAATATGAATTGAGGAGTGAGTGAGTCCGATCTCCCCTCTAGGATAGGCAGACGCTTGATCGCCTCGCCCAGAATTCGGGAGTGGCCCCCCTCAATGCCTCTGCTATTCAACAACCCCTTATTTTTCAGACGCAGGAATGCCAGAATGGCCTGCTCTCTCACGTGGAGATCTAGTGGAGGCAGATCCAAGAGGGCCTCCATGACGGCTGTGGGGGTCGTTCGCATCGCGCCTGTGCAGGCAAGGCACGCTAGTCTTTGCACATGATTAAGGAGTGCTACAGTTGTGGAGAGTCTGGTTCTAGGCCACCAGACAATTGCTCCATAACAGAACATAGGTCTAATCACGGCAGTGTACAGCCACAGGACAGCCTTCGGGGATGGTCCCCAAAGTTTGCCAATAGCGCGGCGACTTTGCCAGAAAGCCCTATTTGCTTTTTCGGCTTTAAGGTGGATATGTTTGCTCCAATTCAGTTTTTTGTCGAGTG